CACCAAAGCATATTATCTTGAACAATTAAACGAAGAACCACTACCTCGACACTGGAATGCTGCGAAGCTAAAACAATATTATAGATAAGTCCTTCACCTGCTAAGGACGTTAGCTATCGACTAATCCTTTTCAACCGACAAAGAGATGAGCTCGACCACGTAGGCGCGTCTAGGTACAGGCGTGGCCTCCAAACATCAACAAAAGGCAAGAGGTTATTCATTTGACGAGCATCGTCTTATCCCGACAGAGACACCTCAATCGAGCTCTGCTGTCGAAGTACCCAACATGGCAGAACATCCAACTTGCGATGGGCAGTTCACGCCACGAGTTTAGGATCCCGACCGCGATCTTACGCTCGTTATATGGATCCCTACTCTGCGTCCTCGACACATCTCAACATGTGTCGAACAAGTATGAGGGTCGAGCACATATCTTTACATGGAAAACACGAACTTTCATGGAAAATTTATATCGACCACAAACAAAGGTCGAACACATATCTCCACACGAAATATATGAATATTCATGGAATAAATAAGTCAAAAACAACGACAAACAAAAATAATAATAAGCTAGCATCAGCAAAAACATAGGCATCAAAGCAAAGCAAAGCATTTACAAATGTCGAGCACTAGAGTCGACGATGTCTGAATGTTATAAAAATTACAGGCACGCAGACCCAAATACAAATAACAGTTATCAAAAGAAATGCACTAATCGCTCCTTAGAGTACCCACTTCTACCTCGGGAGAATCAGGAGGAGGAACAACCCGGCTATCGACCACCTGGGATAAGACCCCCGGTTCCTTCAGTGTTGAGTCTCGGGTTCAGCACAAACAGTTGGTTTACGGCAGCTTTGAAACCGTCAGCCAAGGCGTCGACACGGTCTGACTCGAGGATCTGAATCCGGACAACGAAATCTACGCGAGTGCGCAAATCAGTTACACTCTCGGGTTCGTCCTCCGCAGGTGCCATAGCAGCCTTCAGATCAACAACTTCCCTCTTCAGCCGCTCCCTTTCGCTCTCCCACAATTCTTTGTCGAGCAGGAGGCAATCCTTTTCCTCGAGGGCTTTGTTAGCTCTCTCTTTCTCCCCCGCTAGAGCATCAGCCTATTCCCGAAACTTCTCTTCGCTTCATTCAAGGGAGGCCTTTAATTTATGTGTCTTCCCTTGAAGAGTCACGTTCTCTGACTCCAGTTCCTTGACCCAACCAGAGGAGTTGGCCCCTTCACCCGCGAGGACCACGACCATCTTCGCCATCTTCATCACCCCAACCATACTAGAAGCCAGATGCTTCCTTCAACCTTCGTCGTCGAGTCGCCTTATGATGTCAGACTCATTGTCGGACACAGTTAGAGGGAAGCCCTCAAAGAAATCCTTCTCCACGAAACAAGGCGGGAGGCTGAAGGCTCGAGCAGTCGCCCCTTCGGTCACACCAGCAACCCCATCCGCGGGGCGACTCCATTTCCTGCCCAACACAACAACTTGCTAGTCCGCACCACGGGTCCCCGACGACCCACTGGATCCTTTCTAGGCCAGCTCAGAAACTGAACCCATGCGTGTAGGCTGGTGCAACTTCACCAACCTCTTATGGCTTTTTTTCTCTTGGGTCAACTTCAACATCCTCTCGCGATGTTCCACCATGTTGCCTGTAAAAACAAAAACGTTATCCTCGGGTCAGCCTCGGGAAAACAAAACAAAAGAAGGCAAGAAGTAATAAAGTAAAATCAAGCAAGCAAAAACCTAAGAGATCCACTGAATGTCCATAAGATCGACACTCGACGAGCGCCTTAGTGTTGATCCAACGCGCTTCGAACATCGGCTCACCGTCTTCAACAAGGATGTCGTGTCCTTCCCTCGTGACCCACTTGGCAGGGAAGAAACCGTCGACGAACCAATTGAGGATGTTATAGGCATCTTCGTCTTTGACGCTCATACCGTCGACGGAAGTATGGTAATGCCTGGAACCATGATCGTAGTGGCCCGAGCACCAGTGGATGGGAAACTTCGAGATTCGCCCGATCTCTGAATTACCCTCAGCGTCGTAGCACGGTTCTTCATCCTCGTCCACAACGGAAGTCGGATCGAACATAGCGTCCACAACTGTTTGGGTAGAGGGTTGTAAGATATACCACCTGTCTTTAAAGTCACGGACAGAGTCCATGTACATTCTGAACAGCCTCTTCGACTGTTTGAAGGAGACCCAACTGTGTTTCCCTCCCTGAGACTGCCGTTGTAGGTGAAAAACCCTGAAGAACAGGGGAATGATCGCCCCGATCCTCAGGAACCGGCAATTAAGTTCAAATGCCCGGATGAAGACAATAGCGTTGGGATGAAGCTGAGAGGGTGCTAAGTTCAAGTGATTGAGCACCCCCATTTAGAAATCGTTGAATGGAAGTTGAAGTCCCAAGTCTTTGAATACGACCACATACCTAGGGAAGGCGTCGTGGTTGAACTCTGAGCATATGCGAGCAGTAGGAATTGGCCGCAAGATTTTGAAGCTCCTTTGAAAGCTTTCCCGATTGCCTCCATACTCGACGACAGTATAAGCTTGCCTCCTAGTGTAACTATATATTGAGGCTATTCCTCGAGGCTCTGCACCGACCCAAGCCAAAGCAGGATCGTCGATTGTATCGATCAAGTTGACGCCCTCCTCGGCTACATTGGTCTCTTCGATGTCCATATGCTCTGACGATTCGGGAGTGTCGGCCATTTACCTGCAAAGTAGAGGAAATTGGTGAATTCGACAGCAAATCCAAATCCACCCTTCCACGATGCAGATGAGAAGGCTAAGTAACGTCCGAACCAAGTCGACAGTCATTCGCGCAGAGAGGGGGAAATACACGGCTCTCGACCAATCCATGAAAATCATGTCAGTCTTATAAGACCACACAATGATCGTAATGACGAACACTTTTACATGCAAACATTTTTTCATGAATACCTCGGGCACAGGATGAATACATCGAGCGAGATATGAATTCGTCGGCCAAACTCATGAATCCTCAGAGGATCGCGTAAATTTCTTGCGCAAAAATCATGAATTTCGCGGGGATATATGAAGACTACAGGGCAAATTCGTCTAAGTGTCGGTGACAAGATAAATACTGCGGGCTCAGTCACGAATAATACGCCTAAATACATGAATCCCCGGGACAACCCTCAAGTGGCTAAACCCTACTACTAAAACGGCATCAAAGTCAATCTAAACAAAAAATATCATGAAAAATACTTACTTGAACAAACATAGACGAAGAATAACGATGGTAGATGGGGAACAAGCGGCGGATTAGGCGATGGCGCTAGCGGTTGTAGAAAATAACACGGCGTTGGCAGCAGGGAAAGTGAGGAGCGCAAGAATGTAATGTGGACAATGGGCCCTGGGACATTATTTATAGAGCTAGCGTGGAATACGAAACGTCGCGTCGGACATCCCAACAACCGCCTTTATACTCGACACCTACGCATTCAACTAATGATGGCCCCTACTCTCTAGGCCATCATTACAACCCCAAAGGTCACGCCACGTGCCCACACCCCACCGATTTTCTTCTCCCCATGTCGAGAACGACCCCATCTCAAGTTCATTCCGAACGCTGCTCGGGTAAACCCGTATACCGATGACTTTTTCCGTCCACGCACTGAAAGATTCTCGTCGAGTAACACACTTCATAAAAAGAAGAGACTAGATTTAAGTCATAGCTCCTTTATCAGAAGCAACGACTTGGGGGACTCTTGTTCTGGACTGGGTTTGCCCTCAGCCCAACTCCACGTGAGGCTCAACCCACGTCGGGCAGAAACTTCCACTTTCTGTAAGGAAGCGACCTCACTGTACCGGAGAAAACCCAGTTAGTCTCAGGGAGCTCGCAGACCGGTCATGATGATCTCGAGGACACCCTCCGATCCTCCTCGACCAAGCCTTATCCCTCCACACGACCTCGCGCCTGGCGGGGAGCATCTCACGAGCATCCTCCTCGTAGGAATGACTGTCAACGTCTCAGAATATCACGGAGTCTTCATGGCCTCGAAAAGACCGCATCAATATCCTCCTAATCTTGCGGAGGAAGTCATTCAGGTGGAGGATCACGTGCGGGTCCCCACTACTCACGTAAGACCTGACAGTCTCCACTTTAGACCTGCTTGACCAACTCAATGAGGAGACCTTAGCCCAGCGTTGGGGACTATAAATACTCTCTCTTTCGAGAGGGCCAGGATTTGAATATTTTCTTACTCTCTTACTTGCTTGCTCATTCTGAAACTTACTTTGGCATCTGAGTGTCTTGCAGGTACCCCCACCTCACTCTCAAGTTCTGCTCGACGTAAGCTGTGACGGTCCATTGTGATCAGGTAAGATCAAATTAATATATAAATTATTGAAAATTATAGATTAGATAAAATATTGTGTCACATGAAAGCTAATTAGATAAAATTGCGAGAGAAATATTAAAAAATTGAGAGCAATTGAAATTTTAAGAAAAAATAAAATTGTTCGAAAAAATTTGAGTATAAATTTTTTGAAATGATCTCAATTATAATAAAATTAACTGTTGAAAAAAATAAACAAAAGCTGAAACACAACCATTGTCATTTTTATTATTTTTTTATTCCATTCAACCGTTGCATTATAATGCTACGTTCGTCACCTGACAAAAGTGCAAAGTCTATTTTTTCTTGAAAACTAGCGTCCAGCTGGCGAACCAAGACAACCATCCTCCCGTTAGAGATGGTCTAAGCAGAGTGCTGCAAAGTAGTTTTCAACAGGGCTCATATTTATATGCTTTGCAATTGCATCAAACAAAAAGACCATACTGGTACATGATGCAAGGCATGAAAAATAGTTACACATTCAAAGGATGAAAATACCATGCCACCTAAATCAGTAAAAACTGGAAGCCACCGGTTTTCGACTTTTGTGTCCTCCCAAGTTAGAGTGATGATATGCTTAATATTACCAAAAGATCGGTGGAACCAAAACCTCTATACAGTCATGTAGTTATACCTATTTTGCTGAGTACCAATTTTGAGCACATTTGGCATCAACAGAGAGATCAACTTTAAGAATATTCTTGCCATAAAAGGGTTTGGACATGCACTCAACAACTATGGATTTCGCAATCTCAGCCGACTCTGTTGGTCCTTCCAATATGACTTCATCGTGAACCTGCTTTGCCATATTCAAATTAGTTTGTGAATAGTATGACTATATACATTCAAGTGAAACCAATCTTGGCCATGCATATGGTTGTCAATGTTGTCAATCGCAGATTGTTTAAATTCTGCGCAACCGTGTTGTAGCCTATAGAGCTGCCGCCACTATTGGACAACATTTGTACTAAAAAGCATATCGCAAACAATAGCGATTTGATCAAATTTTACTAAACTCTAGTGCTATTAGCATATTAACAATATTGGTTGTATGCCCAACTCTTATCTTTCAATTGATATACACAATTTATAAATATCAATAAAAGTGAGCAAGAAAATTGAGAAAGAAATCAAAGAGTGATATTACCTGTAGAAGTAACTTCCATCCAAGCTCCTTCAACTTTTTATTATTAGAAATTTGTATCATGGCGCACATGGCAACATCAGCAGCACTACCCTGTTGCATTTTACAAATCAGAAATCCATAGAGAAAAATCTGTATGTATATGAATGTGACATTGTGACGTTAAATACAATTAAACCGTAAATATTTTATTTAAAGCACTATTTGCACTATCACTTGGATAGAAACTTTGGAATATGATAACCTTTATAAATTGGTTTTGAAAACATTATTTCACTATTCAATGTTTCCTATGTTAGATTTACCATAATATGATTCTCAAACTCAAGAGTATAGTTATAGTCTAATAGAGAAGGGGACAAGTTATTATGTTATTCGAAAGAATTACGGGCCTGCACTGGAGTATTAATAGCAGCACGCTCAATGTGACCTTTCTGATAGGTATTAGCTTGGGCCATCAAAGGGAATTTCCGGGCTCGCCCTAGCAATGTGTAGACACAATAAAACGTACGAGCTTCTTTTTTACGCTCCTCTTGCCATTTCAAAACTTCTTTTCTATCGTTGTACCAAAGATCAACTGTTTTCTTAGCTTCTTTCACAGAAACCTGAAAGAAAAAAACATGTGAATTTTTTTCGACAATGAAATAATAAATCATGGATATTTTCAGCATTATAAATCTCTCATAATGCATAATAGAACTGAGTGTACCCTCCAATCCTTAGATAGCCCCACTGGAGTCTTCCCATATGCAATTGAGAAGTTAAGCATTTTAGCTTTTCTTCTTTCAGAACCAAACGCATCCTAAGATGGAAGGGGGAAAACACAAAAATAGAGTCATGAACAAATTATGAAAAACCGACAAATCATGCTTCTATACCTTCAATAGAGGAACCGGGGGTTTATCTTCACCAGGCTGAGGATCCCACTCAAGAAGCACTTCCTTTTTCTCAACTGCTTCACGAATATATGGGTACATATTCATAGCAGTCCTTGAATGGAAATCTCCACCGGCTTTAAAAGCATCCATCATGCTCTTACAATTGGCAAGATGTGCGAGAATCCTAAGTTCCAGCTGTAACAATACATAACACCGTTAACCGAATAAAATTTCTAGAGAACATTCCAAATAGATACACAATATGAACTACTAACCTGTCCATAATCAGCAACTATAAGAGAATTCCCTTGTGCAGCGATGAATGCTTGACGGATTTTGTATCGGTCTTTTTCCAAAGCAGGTTGATTCTAATTCATGCACAAAGATGAAGGTCGATGATCAAATGAATAGTGCTTAACAAATTTCAGGTTCACAACTACCACCAATAAAAGGAAATATCCTAATCAAAATCTTAAGAGAAAATTTCTTATACATCACACAAATTAGAATACCTGCAGATTTGGCCTTCTAGCTGACAAGCGTCCTGTCTCTGTGTTGATATTTAAGGAGCAATGAACACGGTTATCCTTTCCTGATATATTATGTCCCTGACATAAAGAAACTATGAAGATGACATAGAGTATGATATAAAGAACTTCAGAGTTGAAAAAGAAAATGCTAGATCCAAACTTTATTACATGAGTGATGGAACATGGAAACAAAAATTCATAACGAAATAGACCAAAAAAACACGTACAATTAAAAATATACCTGCAGGGGTAGAATGAAGTTTGAAATCAAAGATTTGATTGAACTAACTTCACATAAAGAAGCAATGGCATGGCAAGCTTCTCTCCCTTCTTTCACTGTTGGAAAAGCGGCAAAGGCTGTTCCATATGCAGAATTATCACCTTTTGGAACCTCAATATGATTTTGAGAAGGATTTCCATGTTCATCATCAAGATCCAAGTTATAAACCTCATCGGTAAAATCAAAATCAGAAGAAATCTTTCCAGCCAGGACCTTTAAAGCATCACCACTAATTGACGGCCAACCACTTGCTGTGTACATCTCCGTCTTCAAGTTATAACCTAGGCTCTTCACCTTCATATTGCGGAATTTTTTAGGAGCCTTCTTGCCTTCTTCAATCACTCCATCAACATTGGGAACTTTGAATATTCGTTCAGTTGGAAGTGATAGAGCGGAGTTTTTTCTGCAATTTGAACAAGACAAAATGGGTATGTATGAATTGCGTCCATCAATATCTTTCAGCTACTTTGTCATAAACAGCACATTTCATAAAACATATTCAAATATGTATTAAATCACAATAATCTGACAGTTTGATTGATAAATAGGTCCTAACTTATATGGTTATTATAAAAAAAATGTGTGCACCTGTTCACAGTACCACCAAAAAGCAGCTGGCGCAGCTGTATTTCACTTCCGATATTCATATACTTGGCATCAGGACAATACCTACAAGCCCATTTCCGGAATCTATCTTCAGCTATTTCTTGCTCTACTTTGGCAACCTTTTCTATGCCTGCAAGATATGACCGATCAACTAGCATTCCCTCAGTTTCCATTTGGACTAGAATCTCCCCAAATGGGCGCCAATATTCATTGTAGAAATCATACATGGTTTTCCCGGAAACTGGTACACCATCAAATTTCCACGGCATGTCTGAAAGATAGCTTTTAAGACTCTCATATAGATTCAAAGTGCTTTTAGCATCTAAAGCAGAATAACATATCCAAGGTATACGCTCATCTCTCTGTAGATCTTCAACAGGAGTGATGGTAATCGCTTTACCCTCAGTTCCATCTTTTTTCACTTTTTTCTTACTAAATATAGTTTTCATTGACACCTTACCGATCAAATCCTTTTCATGGTTCATTTGAGCCCTTGACATGACCTTTTTGTCACCTGATAATTTTTCAAGCGAATAGCCCCCATTTAGTTGTCTTGAAGAATCCCATAACCGTGCCATGTGCATTGTATCAGCATGAAAACCAGAAACTTTGAATCCGTAGTTCTCTATAACATGACAATCAAAGCTATAATTATGCCAGACCTACAAAATGCACGATTTGGCTACTTAAAATATTATTTGTAATCTAGAGTCGTAGACTCATAGCATTCATACAGCAGAAACCGTAGAATTACGGAACAAGAGGCACTGCATTTTGAGGTGAGCGATAGAATAGAAGAAGAAAGAAAATCTCACCTTCTTGATGGAAGGATCGCTGAAAAAATCAGCAAATTTTTCTAAAATTTCATTGCCTCCGCCATCAAGAATATCTACCCAGATACAAGATTTTCCACCACCAAAATCAGCTTCTGGACCGCCATAAATACTGAAGCAAGTTATCTCCCCGTGATCTACAGGCGTTTCTTGTTTGACATCTATCTTGGCTACCTTTGAATAGAATGAAATCAGCATATAATATATGTTGGCATACAAGAGGAAAAAATCTAGCTATGCACAGTAGTGATCATGGAAAATCCATGCATAACACATGTGAAAACAGTCAAAATAATTATACCTCGGTATCACATGCATAAATAAGATGCTGGTACTTTACTGTAAGCAACTTAACAACCTCTTCTGCAAGAGGAATATTATCAACCACCAGAACATCTTCATAGATACGACAAAGTCTGTCGTGAAGTTTTAACTGGTCAGCACAACGTTCCTTTTTAGCAAATGTTGCATCGGTTGAATCCTTTGTACTTTCCTTTTTAGCAAATGTTGCATCAGTTGAATCCTTTGTACTTTCCTTTTTAGCAAATGTTGCATCAGTTGAATCCTTTGTAGTTTCCTCCAAAACGTCGTCAACATCAACTCTAGGAATTTTCTCTCGAGCGATCTCCAATGCAGATTCATTAAACTGATGGACCACAGTTTCAGAATCAGTAAACGTCTTTGAATTGTCTACTACGGGATATTTAACAGAAGATGGAACATGTTCACCGTGATTCTTTCGTACAAGATTGCTTACTCCCTCCGTAGAAAAACCTTGTATCTGACTAACGGAAGTTAATCTATTAGATACTTGAGAGCCATCAATTTTCGTCTCAAATTTGTTTGCACTCTTCATTTCCTTCCTATCTTCAGCTAACTTATTTTTTGCCATAGACCATCCTCTTTTATCACCACCAGACAATTTCCTTTCAGTAGCAGCTGTGGAAAGTTCCGGATTACAAAGAGCCACACCCACTTTCCCAACTCGTGTTTCATAGGAATGCAGAGAATTCCTCTCTTCCTCTTCTGTCATTTCCACCAAAATGCTATCAGCAGCTGCGGAAAGTTCTGGATTACAAGGAGCTACTCCCACTTTTCTAACTTGCATTTCATAAGAACGCAAAGAACTCAGCTCTTCCTCTTCTATCATTTCCTCCACCAAGCTAGTTGACGAACTTGAAAACTTCATAAATGTATCACAAACTGGATTCTTGTGCCGAAGATTCTGTTCATATCGAGTCTTAGTGTCGTATTTATTTAACCCTACAGATGACAACTTTGGACACCATAAATCTGTTCTAACACAATTACTACGCACAACACTATTTCGAAAGCCATTGACACCAATCTGGATTGCCTTGATTTTTCTTCTGCAGTTCTCATCGTACAATGAAAAGAAAGGTGTCAATTAAATGAAAAACAATAGCATATCATTATGTGGCAATAAGGTACTCAAAATAATTTTTAGAAACTCGGTACCGGACCAATCCCACCAGCCACTAGCGGGGCTCAATTGAAGTCACAACAAAATACTATATGGACTACCCCAACATAAAAATTGTTTCCATCAACGAAATTCAAACCTGAGATCTTGAGATGAACACTCTCAGGTCCTGACACTTCACCAACAGGTCAACTCTAGGTTTCATGTACCGAAGATAAAACACATTCCATGACCAAACTAACTAACTGAAGATACATTTGACTAGCAAAAGACACATTCAATGATATTTTTTGTAATTATACTACAATTAGAGACTATAGCGACACTATGTATGGATGGACTAACCTAACACAAAAATTATTAGCACAAGTGGAATTCAAAGTTGAGACCTCGAGTAGAGCACAATCTCATGTCTCAAGCCTTCACCAACAGGTCAACCCCTCCCACGGATTCATGTACCAAAGATATAATATAGCAATAGTAAACCGTCTTTTGGTCCTAAAAGTGTGAAGCATGTCAATATAATCCTTAAAGTGTATTGAAACTTCAAAAACGTCCCAAAGCATGTCTTTTGTTAGTAATTCCATGGACCAATCTAACAAACATATAACACATTCAATGACCAAACTAACCAACCAATACGTTGAGTAACAAAAGACACATCCAATGATTTCTTTTTGTAATTATACTCTAGGAGCACAAACACCAGACTATACTGAGCACAAACACCAGATGCTATACTAACACGTCAACACCTATAATAATTTTAAATGAATAAATGAATTAAAAATAATTACAAGTGTCAGTGCCAGAGAAATTATACTACAATTAGGGACTATAGTGATAATACAACACATTAAAGGACCTAAAAAGTACTTATTTTGAAGAAAAATACAAACATCCAATGAAGAAAAGGTTTAAAATTTGGAGTTATTAAAGAAATTGAAGGCAAGAAAAATTGAAAGAGAGTGAAGAAAAAGGTAAACCTGTGGGGAGTTAGGGAAATGAGAGAAGAGCGTGAAGAAAGGGAGAGAGGTAAGGGACGTGAGAGACGGCAGCATAAGGGGCAATATTGTCTTAACTCAGTGGCCTGTGTAGAGGCCGCCATTATTGTTGCTGTTGCGTCTTCTCTAACTGTAATGGCTTCTTTGCTTCTTATTCTATTCTATCATGAAACCGTGATATTGAGAATAAAAATATGTGAAAAATCTTGGCCATTATTATTGATTTAAATTTAAAATTAAAATTATACTGTACTTGGAATTGCCATGTAAAGTCGTGTCTTTATACATATATATATATATATATATATATATATATATATATATATATATATATATATATATATATATATATATATATATATATATATATATATATAGATTGGGTCTGTCTTTGGCCAAACTTTCAGTGAGACTCAATTCAAGTGTGTCAATCTACACCACTGACTGGTTATGTCCTCGAATACGACGGACAACTACCACCTTTTTTCCGCGAGGAGACAACCTCACCACACGGGGACAACGCCCCGAATAGACTAAGGACGGTCATCTCCGACCATGAAGACTTCGAGGACACCCTGACTAGCTCGTCAACCAAGATTGATCCCCTCACTCGACCTTGTGTATGACGGGGGATCACCCACGACGGACAGATGTCTCTCCCGAGCATCCTCCTCGTAGGCCTGACTACCAACGTCTCCGGATATCACGGAGTCTTCGTGGCCCCGGAAAGATCGCATACACATCCTCCTGACCTTGCGGAGGATGTCATCCAGGTAGGGGACCATGTACGGGTCTCCACTACTCACGTAGGATCTGACAATCTCTATGTTGGGTCTGCTTGACCAGTCCAATGTAGAGACCTTGGCCTAGCGTTGGGGGCTATAAATACCCTCTCTTTCGAGAGGGTCAGGTATTCAACACTTTCTTACTCTCACGCTTACTTGCTCATTCCGCAACTTACTTTGACATCAGAGTGTCTTGCAGGTACCCCCCCCCCCCCCTCCCCCCACCTCACTCAAACTCTACTCGGTGAAGCTGTGATGGTCCATTCTGACCAGGTGCGATCAGTGGCGCCGTTTGTGGGAAACTTGCTTCCCCTTCTTCCATTTACTCAAGACTAAAGCTAAATCACTCTTCTGACTGTCATGGTTGATCAAATAGCAGAAACCAACATGAATGTCTGCATCGCTGACATCAATAACAATGTCGCCAACAATAATGTCGGCATCGACAATGCTGACACTATTGGCCACAACACGGCCCCCACCATTAATATGCCCGATCCTTCAGACTATAGATACGGGGCAACTTCCTCGTCATCATCACTATCTCAACAACTTGAATACGATCGACCACCTCCTCAGAACTATCAACCCAACCAATTTCAGGAGGTCCCCGTTTCCGCTGGAGCATATGCCACGACCAGGGCACTGTTCGCAGCGATAAACCAAACAAATTATCTCATCTTCTCTCAAGGAGAGAGATTGAGGGTGCTCGAAGATGCTCGGAGAGCCCCCTGAAGACATATGAGGCCCCATTCTCCTCCTCCTCGCCAAGTAGAGGAACGCCCCCAATCTCCCCTACAGAGACGTAGGTGGGATGCCTCTCGAAGTCCCTCTCCCCGACCAATCAGGAGACGCCCTGCACTGGAGAGGGACCAGCCCGTTGACACGGGGAGACGCGATCACATTCCCCCGCGTCAAGAGCAAAGACCCCCTAGAGACAGGAACAGGGGAAATAACGAGCGACCGTACTGTCCGAGGAACGCTGCGAGCGACAAGGGCCGCCATAACCACCACCACAATAAATCTTCTTCTCGCTCGCCAGACAGGAGTGACGAAGATGACCCCCCCCCCCCCCCCCCCCCCCCCCCCCCGCGATCCCTTGTCACAAGCCATCATGGAGGCACCCATCCCCCCGGGCATGGAGAAGCCTCCCCATCTGAAGGAGTACAATGGCATTGCCGACCCGATCGACCACATAGACGGGTTCGAGGCAATGATGCATTATCACAATGTCGGGCGACCAATCAAATGTCGGTTGTTCCCCACGACTTTGAGGAAAGTTGTGATGGATTGGTACAAGAGTCTCGCCCCGGGGTCGATCACCTCCTGGCGAAATTTAAAGAACCAATTCATCAGTTCGTTTACTGCTTCACGTCGACACCCGAAGACTGAAGAAGCCCTCGAGGCCATCATCCAGAGACACGACGAGACCCTGGGGGAATTTATTGATCGGTTCAACCGGGAGGCCATCCAGGTCCCCTGCACCGATCATATGAAGAGATACCTACTCGAGAGGGGATTCCTCCCGGGCAAGGAACTCAGAAAGGTCATTGGCATCGAACTACCACGGACATTCGATGCCCTCCTCGATAAATCCATAGCATACATGGACTACGAGGAGAGGGAAGCAGCCAATAGAACCCGGGACCCCAGGAATCATGGATCAACCAGCAATCCGCGATAAGACTCTTGCCCTCCTCGATGAACCAGCGAGAAGAGGAGGGATGACAAACCTCGAGACCCTTGTGAGCAAAGAGGACCCTCAGGGAGGTTTACTGAGTACACTATGTAATATCAAGCTTCTCAAGTGATTCTCAATGCACTTTGTTTTGATGAAGACAAACTATATTGACAAGAAGGTAAATATTTTGATCAAGCTAAAAGCATCATTAGATAAAAGACTCTGTCTCAAGTTCTTAGCAAATTTCATAAGGTATAATGACAATACTTACTTTAAACTTAAGTCTTAAATGCTCACTGATCAAAAGAAGTGTTTTATGTTGTCCAAACTTTTTCTCAAGTTTTCTAAGAAAAAAAAATCAATTTTCACTTATGTGCAATCGATTTGCATGTTGGTGCAATCGATTGCATGCTTCACGTTTTCAAAGTGTTAGCTACTGTTTTTAAGTGCAATTGATTTGCACGTTTGTGCAATCGATTGCTCTCTATCAAATTTTGCTATTGTTTTAAAGTGCAATCAATTTACACACATGTGCAATCGATTGCTCACTGAAAATATTTGAATTTTTTAGTTGTTAAAACTCGTGCAATTGATTGACACAAGGGTGCAATCGATTGCATGCTTAACATTTTTTAAAATCAACACCTTTGAGCGTACCTTTTCATAACACCATTTCATGGAAACTTTTCATTGAATCTTGGCAATTGTTCATGATTCATTTGTAGAAATTTATGATGTTTCAAAGAGGTGTTATGAACATATAAATACTGAATTTTCAAAGTCACTTTGTACCTCTTCCAATCAATAGTTTCTGAATTTTAAAATATTAAAACTCAAGCTTTTTCTTCACTTTCATACACAAAGTTTTTCTGCACATTTTCATATATTGTTAAACAGAAAACTTTGAGCATTCTATAGTCTTGAGTCATTGTATATTATTGTTATTGAAAGAGAATATCAAGTCATTAATAAAATCACTCAAAGTGATTATTGCACTACAAACTCTATCAATCAAATATTTCTATACACTTTCTTATTTTTCAGGATTATTGAAAATAAGTTCAAGTGGTTTTGTAATCTTGTATTTCCAGGATTGTTGGATATAAGTAAGGTCACCTTGAGAGGATTTTTCTCATTGTTGACATAGTGAAAATCCAAGAGGATTGTTCTTGGTCCAAGAGGTTTGTTCTTGGTTTTGGTAGTTCTTGTTTTAAGTTTGCCACTATAAGGAAATCTCTTTCATGTTGAAAGGGGACTGGAGTACTCTCGGACTGTGAGGGGAACTAGGATATATCGCTCGTGTCTCTTTATTTTTCTGCATTTTACTATTTCATAAATACACCATAAACTAGAAAAATATTATCCATCATCACTAAAAACCATAAAAATTTTAAAGTGCCTAATTCCCCCCCCCCTCCCCCTCTTAGACGCACTTCGTACTTACAATTGGCATCAAAGCAGGTTATAGGTAACTTGTTCCTAAAAGATACAGAATGGCTTCCGCGAATCAAAACTCCATTTTCAGAGATGGTGGTAGTAACAACAAGCCTCCTCTATTTTTGTAGTGAATATATTGACTTCTGGAAAATACGCATGAAGGCACATCTAGAAGCACAGGGAGAAGAAATATGGGATGCCATCGAGAATGGTCCATTTATTCCTATAACCGTGATCAATGGTGCTGGCTCATCAAAGCCTAAAACTGCATGGGATGAAGATGATAAGAAAAATGTCATCTATGATAAAAAGGCAATCAATATTCTTCAAGGTGCACTTAGCATGGATGAATTCTTCTGTGTCTCGGCATGCAAAATGGCGAAAGAAATATGGGATACCTTGGTACAAACTCATGAAGGAACTGTTGAAGTTAAAATATCAAGACTAAATACTTTGAGTCAAGAATACGAGTTATTTCGAATGCAGCCCGGAGAAACCATCCTTGACTTGCAAAAGAGATTCGTGCACTTGACAAATCATCTAAGTGCTCTTGGTAAGACTTTGACGAATGATGAACTAAATCTGAAAGTACTTAGATCCTTAACTAGGGAATGGCAACCAAAGGTAACGACAATTTCGGAAAAGAAAAGTCTTTCTTCAATGACTTCCGCAACGTTGTTTGGAAAGCTTCAAGAATATGAAACAGAACTCAGAAGACTTGAAAAGCATGAAAATCAAGAGAAGAAATCCAAGAATATTGCCTTAAAGATTGATTCCAAGGAAGTTGAAAAGGAAGACAATCCGGAAGAAGATGAAAATTTCATGCTTCTTGTTAAAAGGCTTGGTAAGTTCTTTGGTAGAAATGACAAATCCATTTGTCATGCAAAAAAAAAAGAAACAATTTAAAAAAAAGGAAGCTTCCACATCAACACAAGAAGTCACGTGTAATGAATGCGGTAAGCAAGGTCATATCAAGCTAGATTATCCAAAACTCTCCAAGAAAGGTGGCTACAAAGGCAAAAAGGAATTTAAGAACAAAAAGTCCTATGTTGCATGGGAGGATAATAAAATAAGTTCTTGTCTGATTCCGATAGTGATGAAAGTGCAAATCTAGCATTGATGGCCTCACACCATTCCGATAATGAAGATGATGAGGTTAGTAATGAATTTTCTCTTTTTGATAGTGATGCACAAGGTGCTA